GGAGTTGCTTATTTTCTCTTGTAAGAGAACTTTTCTGTCCAAGAAGTTCTTGAACAAGGTCTTCATATAAGTTTTTGTTCATTCTCAGCTTGGTGACCCCTGTTATCCACTCTTCTGGGGTACTTCCTAGGTCAGTATTTTGAAAGGCTTGACTGATCTTCTGAAAATCTTCATGCATGGTTTTCATTTCTGTGCTCAATTTCTTGTTTTGGTCGTTCAAGTCCTTCAAATAACATGCTTGAGCTTCATAAAAACCTCCACTACTCTGAATGCCCTGACTGATGTTCTTACCATAGATTGCTTTTGGTATCAATCTGGTAGGATCTTTGTGTAATACTTTTGGTACTAATATAACCGGTTCTCTATGTACAGAACTTCCCTCGATCCTCGTAGTTTCTTCAGGATGTCTTTCATTGGCCGCATCATATTTTGTTTGATCATAAAACTTTTTGTCCATTTACGATTTCTTTCCAATTTGATGAACAGTCTTTCAAGTCAACACCTTTTGATTATGCAATGATTATGTAATGCAGACAAAAGAATATAAACAAATTAGAGCAATGTAACATGCATGGAAAAATAAGAAAACAAAAATAGAATAATTAGTACCAATTAATGGAAAGAAAAATTCTATTTATCAAGGTATAAATCCTATCCTCATGATTTCTAATTCCATGCTTTGTTTGGAAAAATTAACCTAACTGTATGATTTCTAGTTCGCAGGCATTTATTCAGAGAGAAAAAAAATTAAAAGCTAGAGCTTATTTCTCCTTTGTGTAAACCTATGGACAGGGTTTCAGTACTTCTTAGATCAGGTGAAGTGCTAGGGTTTATTATATGCAGGGTTTCAGTTCTAGGAGTAAAGGTACCCGAATTGTCCTTGTTAGTGCCTCCTTGGGCTGCTAACCCTCTATCCTAGTCCATCAGAGATTAAAGTGGATCGAGTTCAATTCGAGGGGATACACTTCTCTATGCCTGACACGGAGAATAAATTCTCACGAAGACATAGAGCATATGAATCCCGAAAGCTACTTGCTAGGTCTGACACGGAGAATAAATTCTCACGAAGACGTCGCTTTCACTCCCACTTAAAAGGGACAAATCTCAAGTATAGAGATTATGTTTATGCAATGCAAGTGTTGTATATGAGGAGAAATGTTCAAACCTCTAACAAATAAATAATAAAATTTAATATTTGAAAATAAAGCATTAATTAAAATAACATATAAATATTATGAAAATAATAAGTATATATATATAAATTTTGAAAAGAAAGAATTAAAAATTAAATATATGAATTTTTAATTTTCTAATTGATAGAGACAATTAATAATTGGTTTTAAAGTTTGACAGTCCCCAACGGAGTCGCCAAGCTATCGTAACCGGTTTTCGTCCGGGCACGAAATTTTTACTTGGTGGGAAAATAATGTGAATAAATAGTTTTTTTTAATATTTTAAGGAGTCGCCGTCGGCCTTTTGGGTCAGGTAGGTCGAATACCTAAAAATTATCTTTTAAAAGAGTTTTTAATAAAACATCAGTTAAAAGATAAACTGGTATGTGTTTTAACCAAAAATTTATTCTTTAATAATAAAAAGAGGTTCGTGGTCGATTACGTTTGGGGAAGGATTAGTACCCCACAACGCCCAAAATTGGCACTCATTAATTATAAATTGTCTCTATTATTGGAAATTTAAAAGTTCAAAAATAAATTTAATTCATGATTCTGTTATTTTGTATTTTAATCGGATAATTTTAAGGAAGAATATTAAATATATATATAGAGAGTTTTGTAAATAGAACATTTATTTATTTAAGAATATCAGAAAAGGGCTTCTAGGTGCTTTAAGACAGCTTTTTTCTTCGATATTAATAAACAAATAAATATTAAAATATGATTATTTATATAAATTTATTTTTATAAATAGGATTTTAATAGAAAACAAATAAAATAAACAAATATTTATTATATATATTTATATGACTAAATAATAATAATAATAATAATTAAATATATTTAAAAATAAACATATAAAATTAAAATATAAATAAAAAATGACTGAAATAAACAAAATTAAAACTAGGGTAAAAAAATAATAAAATAAATAAATTAAAATTAGGGATTAAAATATAACTTATTAAAACTAAATGGTCTAATTTGAAATATCATAAATCTAAGTGCTAAAAGTGTAATTTGTCCTTAATTATTTAATTGGGATTAAAATAATATTTACTAAACTGTAAGGGACTAAGTTCGGTATTTACCCTAAATATATATAATTATTGTGATTAAATTGTAAATAAAATAAAATTAGAATACTAAATTAATATATATATAAATTTATTGCAGTAACTAAATTATAATAAAACAAAATTAAACGATATAATTAAAACATATAACACTTGATTTTAGTGACCAAAATGGAAGTATACAAACTTAATGGACTGCGGGCATGGTTTGACCAAGTGAGTATTTACACAAATACCCCTCCACCAAAACGACGTCGTTTGGTGGAGCGTATTTGAACCCAAATGGCCGGCCCTTCGGGCCATTCTCTCATTTTCTTTTTTCTATCTTCTCTCTCTAACTGAGAGAGTTTAGAAACTCTCTCGCTTCTCTCTTGTTTTCCCTCGCCGGAGGGAATTTCGGCAGCTGTCTGCCTTCGCGCTCCGACGCTAATCACCGTCGCCGACCACCACCCATGGTGGCCGAAAAATTAAAAATACACTCAAAATGAAGCTCTGAACCTCCCCTGGCCGAATCCGACCTCTTTTTCCATTAAACAGCCCCAAAATTACCTAGATCTACAGAAATACCCACGGTATTTCAGTTTTTTTTTGCAGTGTGTGGAGGCTCTGACGACGGCGTAGCTTCCTCGGTGGTAAGTTTTCTCGTCTTCTTCTTCTTTTCTTTAGATATGTAGTTGTCTGGGATCGTTGGTGTAGTTCTTGCTCTCGTGGTGTCTCCTCTCCCTCCTTTTTGTTTGCAGGGGAACTAAGGCTTTATAGTCTTGGTGTGGCTCTCGTCGGACCGGTCCAAAGGATGAAAGGCTCGGTGAGTCACCAAAGCTATGCTGGTGACTCACCATAGAGGCGACGTGGACGGTCAGTGTCATGGCAGCAAAGCTTCTGGAGTGTTCGTCAGAGGCGTCGTGGCAGTACTGAAGCGTCGGCAACGGTTGGACGAGACATCTGGCTTGGGCTTCTGGAAGCAACTAGAAGCGTGGGGCGGCTGAAGCTTGGAGCGGCGTCGTGGCCCTAGGGTGATGATACTTTAGGGTTCTATTTGGAACCTCTTGTGGACTGTTGGATCAAGGCCAGATCCAACGGTTGAAAAGAGCTGGCGGCTGACTGAGATGATATAAACCCTAAATTTGGTTTAGGGTTTAGCTAGATCCGGGTTGGGCTTGTATCTGATTGGGCCTGGGTATGTAAACTGGGTCGGGTTGATTTGTAATTGGGCTTCGGGTTTTGGGCCTGCAATGTATTAAAATTAATTAATTATTTAATAATAATAATAAAACAAAATAATAATAATAAATAAAATAAATGAAATAAAAACTAGTGTCTTCACCTACGTGAATATGTGAAAAGATATAAAAAGTAATGCCCATGTCATGTGTTATGAGAGCTATAGGTATAGTTGGCATGCCAAGAGTCGAGGGATTATCAATGGTCCTTCGGGACACAGTGGTCCTTTGGGACATAGTGGTCCTACGGGACAAATTCTACGCGCCCCTAATGGGATTTATACGAGCTGTGATGACAGCATTGTGCACAACCTCTATGTACTCACATACCATAAGTTCTCAATAGTGTGCATGGGATTTGAAAAGAAAACATAATTTGATATAATGATATGTGTGTTTCTCGTGAAATGGTACATGTGATATGTGATATGTATAAGTGATAAGTTAGGATCGTATTATAATAATGGTAACAAGTGCATATGTGTAATGGTGATAGGAGATGTTATGTGGTTATATATGATATGATCATAGCAATTATTCATGTATTATTGTGTTTTGAAGTTATATTATATGTTTATGTTCAATATATGCTCATATGATGGAACTGAATTAATGACAAGGAAATAAGTAAGGATAAACATGTTAGTGATGGGTTCAATAGGAATATAAGTATAATGTGTATTACATAAGATGTTCATGCATTTGTTAGTTTACTTTATGTATTTACATATCTCACTAAGTCTATGAGTTAGCTTGTAAGTGTCTTACACATAGGTGTGGATAAGTCAGAAGATCAAGCTTCGGATCCGTAAAGCAGCATATCCCCGCGCAAAGTTCAGATCAAAAATATTTTGTAGAGTATGTCTTGTCATATAATTTAGTATGTTGGCATGTAACTAAGTCATTATATATATACGCTATGATGAAGTTTGTTAAGGTTTTAAACATGTTTTTGTAAAAGAATTACTTTATAGAATAGAAGTTTTAAATTTTCTATGGTTTTTATAAAAGTATATGCTTTGACTGGTCAATGTTACACCTCGGACTCGCATCCGGGTCGGGTACGGGTTGGGGGTGTTACATTATATATGTTATAATTGTTACATAAATTTTCTTTACATAAATTAAACTATATAATTTACATTTAAAATAATTTTATTAATCATGTTCAATGCCAATAAATTAATTTAACTTATAATCATTATAATTAATTTAATTAATAATTTTTAATACATAAATTACGTAATAAAATAAACCTAATAATTATATTGAATATTTATAATATAAGAATTATAATTAATATAATAAGTCTATTTATTAATTTAATCATCATAATTAATATTTTATTATAATATTTAAAAATTAATCATATTAATTAATATAATTTATTATAAACTCAAAATCTCACAATTTTATTAAAATCTTATAATTCCATCAATAATAATCTATATCAGGTCAAGTCAATAACAAGTCAGATCATTTACAGATCAGGTTTAAAACATGTTAAGTTCATAAGATGTTAGGTTAAAGACATGTCAGATAATACTAGTTATTTATCAGGTAAATCTCGGGTTCGGGTTAATATCAGTCGGATGTAATTTGAGTTCGAGTATCATATTTTTGGTTCAATTCGGGTTCAAGTTGTTCTCAGGTCAGGTACGGATCGGTTCAAATCTATAATTTCTAGGTTCAACTCGAATTCATATCAACATCAACTCAAACTCAAACTCAAATCGATTTTGAATCACCACAACACATGTTAAAAACAATTTTAATTTAAGTTGAAGTCGGTTTTACATCCTTTTACACTATTTTTTACCATAGAGGTGAAGCAAAGCGGGGAATGGAGTAACGTTGTCCATTCATGTGAACGAGTAGGCGCATTTGAGGTCAAACTGAAAGTTAATTTCGATCGACAACAGTTTGAAAGGTTCATAGATCTAAAAAGAAGAGAAAAAAAAAGTCAAAACCTTTTCTTCGTGGGCCAAAGTAAAACCAGAAGAAAGGGGGAAATAGACGCAGTTGACTCAGTTTTCGATCCGCTGAGAGAGTTTGCTAAGGACAGTGTTCGTCTCGTCAAGAGATGCCACAAGCCCGACGGCAAAGGTTACCAATTACTCCATCTTCGTTTCGCTATTATTTGATTTCGGTGGTCTATCAGAGTTCTGATTGAATGATGTGATTTTCTTTTTGTTTCAGAATTTACGAAGGTTGCGTTTCGAACGGCGATCGGGTTCGTTGTTATGGCATTTGTAGGATTTTTCGTCAAGCTCATCTTTATCCCTATTAACAACATTATTGTTGGATCCCGTTAGGTAGGGTTCGATTTCTACCCATTTTTCATGTTAATTCGGAATTTCGCGTTTTGATTATTATGGATCTGTTACTGATATGATGTTATTGTGGTTTTCTTGGAATTTGAAGATTAAAGCATCGATATCCTTGAGTTTTTTAAAATACAGTTGTTGAATGCTCTAGGTTAATGAAATTTGTGCGAAATTTAGATTTTTGAGCGACAGTAGGAACCAGGAAATTCAATTAATTTGATGATTCAGTTTTCACCTTTTATCGTTGAATCCTTGTTTTACATCTGTCATTTTGTGTTTTCTTTGTTGTATAGAAGGATATTGATCTCAACATGTCAGTTTAATTGATTCTTCGTTAAAAGATTGCTGCAAAAATGGCCATTAAGCTCTAATCCTTGTTTGTTGATACACTATCACTAATGAGCAATAGTGTGGTCGAAGCTTGTATTTGGGTAGAACAAATGGAAAATGCTGTGAAAGTATAAAAGATACGCAGTTTTCTCGGATCATCTATGTTGATGCTATTAATGGTCTAGTAAACGTTTTAAATGGGGTCAAGTGTTAAGTATGTTTGATGAAGTCGTTTCCATATCCAGTAGCTGTTACAACCATGTAAAGATAAACAATTGCAGCTTAAAAAACTGATTCAGACTTTATTTTCTCTACTTCAAACACAAACACGACCATAACCATCTTATCTTCATCTATTAGTTGTGGTTTATCCATATCATTGTCCCGTGTTTCGCAAACTTTTGTTTGATACTTCTTGGGATGATGGTTGACACTGGAACTTTTGTTCGAATTGCATGCCTGCATCATGTTGCTGAGAATTGGTAGAAAGTTTTCGAGGTGCATGTACATCATGTAAGTCCATGAAGTAACTTCAGTTTAGATTTGGGTTTGGGTTTGTCGTAAAATTCGGTTTTGTTGAAAATGGTTGTCTTTTGTGTTGTGAAATTGTAATGGGAAATTGTTTGTTAGTACAAATTTTGACTTAATATTGCATGGTAAGCAATAGGTTTAATACAAAAATAAGTGTTCAAACTATACCTACAATTGGTTTTTAGTGCTGAAAGAATATTTTGTTAAAAATAGGTGCTTAATATTTTTTTTCGTTACATTTTTAGGTGTCTACTATTAAAAGAAATCAATTAGTGATGTGTTATGTTTATACTTTTTCATAATACAATATTATTTAAAATTATTTTTAAAAAAAATCTGAACGTGAAAAGTGTCATTTAATGGTTTTTTTAACGGTAGACACCTAAAAGTGTATAATTTTGAGTATAATTTAGCCTTTTATTTTTATATTAAGCCTATGCAATAAGAGGATTATATTCCAAAACCTAGAATACATCTTGTGCCCTCAAATAACGTTGAGATGAATTCCATATCATTATTTACTATTCTTTAATAAATCTGCAATTACTTTCACTTTTCAGTGTAATCTCCATTCTCCATGGGTTTTTTGAGAATTTTCTCTACTGCTCAGTTTGCCAATTCTGTGAACAAAAAATATTATGTTATAGTTGTTGGATATATTTCAGTTCCCATTCCATGTATCATTATTTTTTATTTGAAGTTATATTAATATTATATCATTTTTTTATATGAGATTGATATTGATATTAAACTGTTATATTTAATATGAATTCTTTTAAAAAGATTTGTATTGCCAACTAATCGAATTCAAATTAATTTATTTGGGGTGACTATTTATATTTCTATATAATTTAATTAAAATTCTGTATAATTAGATATATTAAAATAATGATAAGTATATTAACTATTAAGATATTACTATGAAATGAATATATTAAATTAGAGAATACATTTTATATATAATCTAATATAATTAGATATGCTTAATATATTTTTTATGGAATAATTTATATATAATCTAATATAATAAACGTATTAATTTAGATATTCAAATATATGATCTGAAATTTTGGATATCCAAATATCTAATGTTTTAAATCAAATTCAAATGACTATTTTAAATATTCGAATTTTCAGATATGTGAATTTTTGGATTGGATCTAATATATGAATTTATATACCGTACTCAAAATTACAAGTCTACTGAGTGTATTCTTAATTTAATATATAACTTTATTTTTAATTTGATTAAATATGAATTTTGATCAATTAATATAATATTTTCAACCTAATTTATGAGTGAACCATATTAGGAATGTTATACATCTTCTGTCAACGTAAATTATGCTAATTTATTCATCCTCGTAAATTATGCTCAATTATCAGTTCACATTCTCTGAAAACTCTTCCACTCCTCGCATTAATTGGCCTGGACTGGGAGTTTCCCCAACGGAAATAATAAAATATAACGAATGACTATTAAATTAAAATATTTTCTGTTAATATTTAAAAATTATAATATAATTATTTAATTTAATAAATTATTATAAAATGATAATTTTATGTTATAAAATAACGATAAAATTTAAAACAATTTTAAAATAATTATTTCCCTGTTGCTGATTCGAGAGAAATGGGGTTGCTCTGGGCGTTCGATAGCGGGTCTAATGGGCACTCAGTTCTTCCTCCCTGTTGCTGATCGCTGGTTTTGTTTTCTGTTTTCTGTTTTTGTGCATCTTCTCCTTTTGTTTCGTTTCTCAATTTCATGGAACCTTTGTCTGCTGATCTTGATTGGAAGAAGCTTTTTCGAGGATCTAAGGAGAAATCCCTAGACTTCTTCCCGCCCGAGGTAGTGGAGGGGGTTTCTACCGTCAAGCCTCCTGTTGCGGTTATTGATGAGGGAATTGCTGAATGGGATTGCTCCGTGGCCGGGCAGTTTATTGGAGATGCTCCCAATTTTGGATCCATACAGAGAATAGCTGAAATTCTATGGGGGAAATCAGCGCATGTTAAGGTTAGTCTCGCTGGGCTTAACCTTTACGTTTTTTCTTTCTCCAATGCTGATTTGAGAGATTGGGTGCTCGAAAATGGTCCCTGGCACTTTCAAAATAAGCCTCTAGTGCTTAGGAAATGGGAACCGAGTTTGAAGAAACTTGACTTTGACCTTAAGCGTATGCCCATTTGGATTCAATTATTCAATATCCCCTTAGAGTTGTTTTCTCGTACGGGTCTCAGTTACATAGCTAGCGTAGTTGGCATTCCATTGTATATGGATTCTGTCACTGCTTCTAAAGAAAGACTAGAATTCGCCAAAGTCTGTGTTGAGGTCGAGGCTGGGGCTGTTATTCCTGAGGTAGTTCAGGTTGTTCTAAGGGATGGCTCCACAACAATAGTTAGAGTGTATGTTCCATGGCTCCCTAAAGTTTGTGTGAGTTGCAAAAAATATGGTCACCTAGCTATTAGATGTGCTGAAGTAATCAAGGCCTCAAAGAAGGCTAAGGATACTAAAGAGGTTCCAGTTTGGAGAAGGAAAGTGAATCCGAATGCTTCTGTTGCTTCTGTTAAAGATGGAGCTGCTGGTCCCTCTGGCCTCCCACAGCTTTCTCTATGTTCTGATATAATACATGCTAGGGGGAGCAGCAAATGGTTACTAGCCTGAAAGTGGGTGGTGCTGAAGTTATATCTGCTCTTGCTCTTCAGGAGGATAATATCGACACTTTGAATGGAGATAGGGGAAAATCTGATTGTCATCCTCATTGTTCAGAGGTTGATACACAACCTTGTGCTTCTGATTTGATGCCTGTTCAGACTCAGGCTTTTCATGCCTGTAATTATGCCCCTATGCAAGAGTTAAAGGGAGATGCTATAAATATTCTTCAGGATTCTGGAAATGTTGACAATTCTGGTTTAGCTGTTAATGAACTCAAAGAGAGTGATCCTTCTGGTTTTGTTGACATGGGGATTGTTGGTGATAAGGTTGTGACTAAAGCTGCTTGTGGAGGTGACTTCCCCACTTTACAGGACTCTTTAAATCAAAAAAAGAAGGCTAGGGGGAAAAGGAAGGACAACTCTGGCTCTTCTAGCAAAATGGAAGCTATTGCTGGGGGTGCAGTTTTTGAAGGCACTAGGAAAGCTAGGACAGTATCTCTGGGAGTTGCTATGCTTTTAAATGAAATTAAGGCAAAAAAGAAAGACCATGTGGATAGGGCCAAAGGTTTAGAGGTCAGTTGTAGTGGAGACCCTTATGTTGCAAATAAATGATTTTGTGTTTTTGGAATGTTAGGGGAATAAATAATGGCCTCAAGCTAAGTAGAGTGATTAGGAGAATGGAGGCTTTAAATGTTGATGTTGTTTGCATCATGGAAACTAGAGTGAGAAGTTGTAATTACTCTAAGGTTGTTGCTGCTCTAGTTACGGATTGGAATGTTACTTCTAACTATGAATTTTCTGATGGTGGCAGAATTTGGATATTGTGGAGGAAGGGTTTATCTTTTTCTTTCCTAAAGGGCTGTGATCAAGTCTTGTCTATAGTAGGTGATGTGGCTGGGCATAATTTAGTGGTTACTGCTATCTATGGCAGTAATAAGCAGTAACCACAGCTTGGAGAGAAGAAAACTTTGGGACCATTTGAATAATTTAGATTCTGTAATTGGTTCCTCACCTTGGCTCATTGGAGGTGACTTCAATGTTACTGCCAATGCTCAGGAAAGCTCTGATTTTGGTAGTTTGGGATGGTATTGCACTTCTGATATGAAGGATTTTAAAGATTGTTTGATTGACTTGGAGCTGTATGACCACCCATTTTCTGGCCCTCTGTTCACCTGGTCCAATAAGCAAGAAGACTCTTTCCTGGCACAAAAGTTAGACAGAATCCTCATTAATTCTCAATGGTTGCTAGAGTTTCCTGACTCTTTTATGGAGTTTCAGGCTCAAGGGGTTTCTGATCACTGCCCTGGGATTATTTGGACTCAGAAGACAGCCCAAATCCATAGGCCTAAACCTTTCAAGTTTTTCAATTGTTGGACTGATAATGAAGATTTTCTGAGGGTTGTTAAGGATTCTTGGCAGGAACAGTTTGCTGGTGACCCTATGTTAACCTTGTTTGGCAAATTGAAAAGGCTTAAGCCTCTCTTAAGGGATCTAAATAAGAAACATTTTTCTAACATTTCTGGTAGAGTGGTTGCGAAGAAAGCTGAGCTGGAAAATATTCAGATCTTTAATCTTGCAAATGTTGGCCACAGAAGAGTGGCTGAGGAGAAAAAGATCCAGGCTGAATTGATTGCACTTGAAGCAGCTGAATCTGAATTTTATAGACAAAGAGCAAAAGTGCATTGGTTGCAAGAAGGTGACCGAAGTACTAGGTTTTTTCACCAGAGAGTTGAGTCTAACAAGAAGAGAAACACAATCAGAATTATCAAAGATGAAAATGGGGGTTTGCATGAATCTTTTGATGGCATGGCTGCTGAATTGCTAAAATTTTTCCACCATCTCATTGGTACTGATGATCCCTTTGCTAAGGGTTGTTCTGTGGTCTGGCTACAATCTTTGCTGGCTTATTCTTTGCCTGAGGGTGCTGGTGATTACCTTGTTGGAGAGATCACTGATAAGGAGATCAAGGAAGCTCTTTTCAGGCAGGGTAAGGACAAAAGCCCTAGGCCTGATGGTTACACATCTTGGTTTTTCAAGGCAGCCTGGGAGACTGTTGGCAGTGATTTCCTTAATGCAGTAAGATTCTTCTTCCACTCATCTTCCCTCCTGCCAGCCTTTAATGCCACAACCATTGTATTGGTTCCTAAATCTTTAAATGCTTGTATGTCCAAAGATTTTAGACCTATATCTTGCTGCTCAGTTGTCTATAAAACTATTACTAGAATTTTGGCTACTAGGCTAGCATCTGTTTTTCCTGATATGATTTCCTTTAGTCAGTCAGCCTTTGTTAAAGGTAGAAATGTTGCTGAAAATACATTGCTTGCACAAGAGATTGTTAGGGGTTATTCTAGGAAAAATCTC